ATAGTTTGATACGTGTCTGACTCTTACAAAGACACATGGGTCTATTACAAGAAAACATTGATAAATACCGACCTGCTCTATACTTCAATTTAATTATCCTTTGATATACCCTCACAGAACAATTCAACAAATACTTCTTCTCATGTTGTGTAACTTTATATGACCTTATCCTCTTCGTATTAAGCTTACAAACATTCTTTGTAACTCTTCTAACCTTCACATAACGACGTAATCAAGAGGAATTCGGTATGCTTGGACGAATACGCTCATAAAAAAAATAATTGCTTCAGTTCTCTGCCTTTTCTTCTGAGACGTTTCAGAGCAGCTTCTTGTATTCTACTGGGTGTTTGATCACGTCTAAATACACGGTTGTATTTACACGTAAACATAACATGAGATAGCTCGTTTGATGTAGCAGGTTTCACTTGAAAGTTCTCGATAGAGAAATCTGGAAATCTGAAATCTTTTAATCTGGAAAGACTCCTTACCAGTGGTGATATCAACCCAAATCCAGGGCCTACCTCGTCAAGGAATAGCACTAAGATCTCGTGTTCTACTTGTATGAAGACTGTCGCCAAGACGCATCGAGCATGATCGAATGTGACTTATGTTTTAAATGGTGTCACATCAAATGTGGTAAATTGCAGTAAATTGCTAAATACTCCTAATTTTGCTTGGTCTTGCCCTGTATGCATTCAAGAACTCCAGTCTTTACATTTTGCAACCGTTAGCGATTCGGAACTTGAAGACTTGAATATTAATGATCTCTATCTTTCTGGCTCGATTTCGAATGACAATCATGATGCTGAGACCGATAGCCTCCGGGACATTTTTCAGTCTTATGAAAAGAACTTTAAACTGGCTCACTTAAATATTAATAGTGTTGCTGGATTCAAATTTTACGTCATTAAGAATTGGTTATTATCGCGACGTCTTGATGTCTTGGTATTAACAGAGACTAAAATTGATGAATCATTGCCTGACTCACAGTCTGCAGTCGAGGGCTACAGACTCATGCGATGTGACAGATCCATTCGAGGTGGTGGATTGATGATTTTTTGGCGCGCTCTAAGATCGTCTTTCATCATGTTCAGATGCCGACCGTGAATAAACTCGAGTCAATTTCAATTAAACTAAAGATCGGTAAGAAATGGCTTCAGGTGATTGATGCTTATCGACCTCCATCTGTCACAACAGCCGTATGGTATCATGAGTTATTCAGCTTGTTAGACTCTGCTTCATCAATGAGTGATGACCTCATCCCGCTTGGTGATTTAAACTGTAACTTAATGGATCCTGGTACCAGTGGTCGTGAGCTTCTAGACTCATTTTGTGTGATATATTCAACCTGGACTGTTTGATAGACAAACCTACAAGGATTACTCAGTCATCTCAAACCTTAATTGAACCTTAATTAGCCTTACTTACTAGCAACAGTAGAAGGTTTCTTAAATCTGGAGTCTTTGAACTTCATCTCAGTGACCATTCCTTGGTTTACACCATTATGAGATCATTTTCTAATTATCATAGATTAAGGAAAGTTACTTATAGGAACTTCAAAGATTATAACAAGGACAAGCTTTTCGATGATCTGGCCTTAATTCCCTTTCATGCTATCTCTGTGTTTGATGATGTATCTGATCAGGCTTGGGCCTTTAACAAGTTATTTACTGATGTCATAAATACTCATGCACTCATTAAACAATTCCATCTTAGGGGTGGGCATGTGCCATACCTGACTCCACAGAGGAGGAAAGCAATTCGGCACAGAAACAATTTATGGAGGAAATACAGACGCGATCCTTGTATTACCAACTGGAATTTGTACAAGAAGCAGAGAAATTTGTGTACTTCACTTAGACGGAAGTCAATAGCTAATTACTTTCATCAGAAAGCAGACCAGTGTTCTTCTAAGCCATAAGATTTCTGGAAATTCGTTGATTCTCTTTTTCATTCTAAGAAGGGTCAAGCAAATGACAATGTTTTACAAGAAAATAATGACTTTATTACAGATAAGTCTATCATAGCTAAGTTATTTAATGAATACTTTACTAGTATTTGTGATAATTTTCCTTTACCGAATAAGGATATCTATGGTTCTGATTTTTCAAGCCATCCTAGTATCCTAACCATTAACAGCTTTATGTCTACAATTAAGGATCAGAATGATCAGGACAATCAATTTAGTTTACATCCCACTTGCGCTTTCACTGTTACTGATATAGTTCTCTCTCTTTCTTCTTCGAAATCGTCAGGTTATGATAATATCCCTATTCGCCTCGTTAAAGATAGTATTCCCCCTATTTCCCAAGTTCTATCTAATTTATTTAATTATTCTACTGCTACATGTACCTTTCCTACTTGTTGGAAATTGGGCCAAGTCACACCTGTATTTAAAAAGAGTATTGAATATTCTAAAAGTAATTATAGACCTATTACTACTTTAGCCACTTTTGGCAGTATATTTGAACGAATCATTGCTGGTCAGTTGAACAATTTCTTTAGTGACAAGCTGTTCCAATTTTTATCAGCCTATCGTCACCATTACAGCTGTGAGACTACTTTGATAATTTATTGGAAGAGTTTCGAAATGGTCTGGACAAACAACATTTCGCTTCTAGTATTGGTATTGATCTGTTCAAGGCCTTCGACAGCTTGCCACATGATTTAATTTTAGCCAAACTCGCTGCCTATGGTATATCATCCAAAAGTTGTGCATTTATAGGTAATTACCTAACTGATCGCTTACAGAGAGTAAAATTAGGCGATCAATTTTCAGATTGGAGTCCTCCTCTTAGACGAATTCCTCAAGGGTCTGTATTAGGTCCCCTTCTTTTTAATATTTACCTAATTTATTTATTATTATATAGTCTTCAGTCCAAAATAAGTTCATTTGCCGATGATACTCAGGTCTTTGATATTAATAACAATGTTTCCCTATTACATGGACACCTACAAACTGATCTTGTCACTGCTCATTCTTGGTTTTGCTCTAATGGCCTTGTGATGAATCCAGATAAATGTATTACCATGTGGCTGGGTAAGAGTAATGACACTACTATACCCTGTTTTTCCATTGGGAGTCAGGAGATCAGTTTTGTGGGGGGGGGGGGTGGGGGTATAAGCTATTGGGTGTAACCACTGATCATGACTTAAAGTTTAATGAACATATAGGTAACATAGCACGGAAAGTTAGCAAGCAAATTCAAGTCTTACAAAGACATAAGAAATTAATTAACGTCCATGCCAAGGTTAAATTATTTAATGCTTATCTTTTGCCTCATTTAAATTATTGTTCTATTGTATGGCATCATTGCGGAAAAGGTAATTCCAACAAATTGGAACAACTTAATGTACGTGCGTTGCTCTTTATTTACAATGATGATAAAAGCTCGTATGAGGAATTATTATTGCGTATTAAGCATCCTACTTTGTATAATAGAAGAATTCATAATATTTTAACACTGGTATTTAAAGCTTTGCATGGGTTGGTTCCAGAATATATCTCTAGGTTATTTACTTTACGCAACTGCAAGATTAATCTGAGGGGGGATAATATTCTTATGATACCTAGGGTTAATACCACTAGCTATGGCCTCCACTCATTGGCCTATCAGGGTAGTAAGCTATGGAACTCTCTTCCCAATAACATAAGACTGCTACACGAATTAAGTCAATTTAAATCCGAAATTTCTAAATTGAAATTCGACCTTTAGAATAAATTTTAATTAGTTTTTATCTTGTTTAGAAATTATATTACAATATCCTTTGCTTTATAATTATATTTTGTATTTTATATATAGATAGTATTTAGATAGTTGGTAATTAGATTAATTTTAAATATTTCAAATTTAGGTAATTTAACTCGGAGATATTAGCATGTATTTGCTATCTTTAATTCAAGTATAAATAAAGTTATTGTCATTGTCATTGATAGAATGTTTACTCGTAAATTGATCTCTCGGAGAGTTCACGGGCCGACCCATTCCCAAAACGCTCCACAATTTTTAGTGTGGGGCTACTGATAACGATGTATACTGAGCGTAATAGCCATCAAATTTCTTTCGCGTACATCAGTCCACAAAGGTAGCCATTGCTTTACCATGCGCTTTAGAGTTCATTCTAGGCATGCGCATACACTTCACGCATGCGCCGTAGTGGAACTGCGTTTTGTGAACGAACGCAAAAAAAAAACAAACAAACAAAGCCGAATTTATACCTCGGGCGTTTCCTTCGGAAAGCCCGAGTAACAATTCCCAACACTCCTCATAGTTGAAATGAGGTGAACCGTCGTATGGTTGGATGTCAAAATACGTCCTAAAATTCAAAAGGAAAAGGTGTAAGTCTCTACAAGGAACTGGGAAGTGAAATTTTAAAGAAAAGTTGGCCGGCAAAATTATTAACCCGGCGAGGACGGCTTGGCAAACACTGCAAAACCTCAACTGCCAAAACAAAGACTTCCAGCGAGATATACAGGCATATAAGTTTTCCTTGTTGACCCTCGCTTCGAACTGAAAGCCGATGCTTACCTTTATAATTTGGATATATCAACAAAGTTGAAATGGTAAATTGGCCACCGTAATGATTACAAAAGCTGACGTTTCGAGCGTTAGCCCTTCGTCGGAGCGAAAGATGCTTATCTTTTCCATATTCAACACAAATTTGAGTTATCTATACTTTGAACTTTTTCAAACCATTTTGCCATAAGCGAATAAATTGAAGCTCGAAATGGTGGTACGCCGTGTGTGGTAAATTCTCAGTCGCCACCCTTTAACAAAGCCGATTTCAACATCATGCGCTTTTCCAAGCAGTGTATAAATATATCTTGTCTTTCCTAAAACTGTTATGAGTCCACCGAGTAAATTTTCTTTACCCCACCATGCACATTCTCTTGCGAAAGAAAAGTAAATGATATTTGATACATTCCCGGCAAATAATCAGACACGTTTGCGATAAATACAAATTATCCTTCGTTAGGCAGGCGCCCATATTTCACTATATCATGTCGATTGGACATCGTAAATGTAATATGAAAATATTCATGTCTTCCAACCAACTACTTGACGTAATTATGCAGTGCTTATGCTATCAAATAAAAAAAGAAAAGATTCATTTTAGTTTCAGTTAAATTGAGGTGATTTCTAATATAAACACTGTATGACAGAGGCGACTTTCTGGCGCGCGAAGAGAATAACAAAGCTCTACGTTTCACGAATCGCGACATTTCAAACATTTTAGAATGAAACATACTGCGTTGAAGGTAATTCTAAGCAATGAAGATAAAAAACACCAATGCAAATAAAGGTAAATGCCGAAACAAACAACATTCAATTCATAACAATTAACTTCTGCCTTTTGTCAGCGTTCACTTTGGCAACTGAGACTAGGTTTACACTAGAGGAAATTGTTCCGGATTCATGATGAATCCGAAACGTTTTAGTACCGGATTCATTCTGCCGTTTACACGAAAGTGGACGAATCCGAAATAAAAACTTCCCGGTTTGGCCGTGTCTCCGGAGATTTTGAATCCGGAATTTAGACTAGGTTTACACTAGAGGAAATTGTTCCGGATTCGTGATGAATCCGAAACGTTTTGTTACCGGATTGATTTTGCCGTTTACACGAAAGTGGACGAATCCGAAATAAAAACTCGCCGGTTTGGTCGTGTCTCCGGAGATTTTGAATCCGGAATTTAGACTAGGTTTACACTAGAGGAAATTGTTCCGGATTCGTGATGAATCCGAAACGTTTTGGTACCGGATTGATTTTGCCGTTTACACGAAAGTGGACGAATCCGAAATAAAAACTTCCCGGTTTGGCCGTGTCTCCGCATACGAAGAATGATCTTCAAGTCAATCATTTCTAACTTGTTGCATGCCAACTGGGGCTGTTCTTAGTTCCAATTGACTCGTGCTCAGTTATGCACCGAAGCTGGGTTCCCGTAACTGCAAAGATAGTTCTTCTCATTCCAAGGTAGCAATGTAAAATGAATCCGACGCGGGCACTGCGGTCTTCTTTAGCACAATAATTATCATTCCACAGCTTAGATTTGTTTGAGAAAAAACTTTTGCCTTCAAATTGAGTCGGTGTCCTCGTACATTTAATTCTTAGGAGCATACATTCTCGTTTTTCGTAGGTTTCTCTTAGCAGTTGCCGCAAGAGAACCACTCACGATTTCCAAGACGTGAGCGACTGAGCGGGTCGGCGTTTCTTCTTGAAACTCATTTTTCTGACTTTCTCTCTCTTTTTCCCCAACAGAGGCCTCCTAAAACTGGTCACAAAATAAAAGTTCAGATAAAAGGTTCAGCTACATTGACTGAGACATTTTAGAGCTCAGTTTTGTAAAAAAACAGCTTAACTTTGTTTGAATAACGGGCCAATAGCACTTGTTTTCACATCATCCGAGATTTCCAATCACTCGGCCCGAGAACGCCTGACACTATGAATTCATTTTCGTCATAGCAAAAATATCTCGGCTTGAATCTTTGGCGAACAGCAATATCTTTACTTCAATAGGAAAGAGTTGTCCTTTATAAGGGTGGAAATCCAGTAAAGGAGCTAATCTTCAACGCAAATGGAAAAAACAATATGGACTGGTTCTATATCAACCAGCTGAAGAACACACCTTGGTCTGACATCCGAAGGGAGCCGTGTAATCTCTTTGCTATCGATCCAAAACCCGGATATGGCCGCAGCATTATCAACAACAGCGTGTACAAAGGATGCCCAGGCGAAGACGGCTCGATGGTGATCACTGGAAGGGGTTGTGGATGGGAGCAATCAAAGCCCCCCAATGCCATTCTCTACAGCAAAGTGGATGGACAGACCAACTGGAACAAACACGGTA